CCCCAAAACCCCAAAACCCCAAAACCCCGCTAGCTACTATTTGGATATTTTGCTAGTCTGATTCAGGAAATATAGAAATTTAAATGATTAAATTGATTATCTTCAGGCGGCACATCTCCTAATAAAGATCATTTTCATCTTAATGCAGCTCTGATCCTTATCTTATTCTTGGAATTCAGCAAGGATCATCTTAATAAGATGTAAAAACAGCTTTTAGAAGATTAGCTCAAATTTATCATCCTGATTCAAAAAGTGGAAACAAGTAAAAATTTTTAGAAATCAAAAGCTCCTACGATATTATTATGGAAACTGATTTCAAACAGATAATATTGGATGAAACTTTAGCAAAAGATAATGATGAATTTTAAAGAGAAAAGGAGATTGTCATGGACAGAATCCGTAGAAAAATTTAAGAGGAGTAGGATAAGAAAAGAAGAGAATACTAAGTTCAAATTGATAAGGAGCAGGAAGAACGCAAGTAAAAAGATGAAATCAGGAGGCAACATCGCTTACAGGAATTATAGAAAAATTAGCAAATGTTCGGAATACATACTGAGGATGCTGCTTCAACTCGCTAACATAACCATACATTAGGATAGTAGTAATATAGAAATATGAGGAGCGCCAGTGTTTAATGGCAAAATATTCAGGATTATCAAAAAAAATAAAGAGAATCTGCTTACTCAGCCTATTAGCCTAATCTAAATGTAGATCCAGAGATCTAGATAATCGAGCAATAACGACTCTAGTAATAACGACAAAGAGAGGAGGAGATTAGAAAATAGCAGAAAGTTTAAGTTGAATAAAAGTAAAAGAAAGAATAATTACAGCAAGTTTCTTACAATTCTGAGAGCATATCTGAAACCCTTAATAAACGCCGAGAAACCTTAAATTAATCATATTTTGAAAACTTAGGTCTTAATTCAAATCCAAATTATAAATACAAAGATCAATAATAATAGGATTTATCTTCTTCAAGCGGAATTATTCTTGGAATACTCTTATTTGGAGGTGGTATATTAGCTTTCATGATGAATTGAAATTCTAAAGCTAATGCTAGCACATAATTCAATCAATCGATACAATATTAGTAAAGTCGTGATCAATAGAACAATGGAAAATTAAGTAAGCAAGACAAAAAAGGTAATGAAAATACCTAAAATAGAACTATAAATCTAGAAGACAGAAATAAGGGGAAAGATTTATAGAATAATGCATAAACCGAGAATTAGATAGAAGAAGAAGAGGCTATTGATTATTCAACTTGGAAAACATTTGTAAGCATTCCTTATGAACCAGCCCCTCCAGATCCAATCTGGATGCAGAAGAAATAAGCAGGGAAGAGGTTGAATATACAAGAAAAAAAGGAAATGATGGAATATGAGTTCAATAAATCACATAATGAGCTACAGAAAAGAAATTTGAAAGTGCCATCTAGAGCAACTTTCGTTTAGGTGATGGATGAATATCATACTTTGAAGACTCAATGTCTTATTTCTCATTCATGTGCAGGTAAAAACTATCCTGTATACGACGGCATTTTTGACAGATGCGGAAAAATGAATCCTTTTATTCAGTGGGAAAAATATGTATCAGATAAGAAAAGCTCAGATGATGTAACTTAATTTATGTTGCACTACAATATCTAGCCATTTTAAGCTCCTTAAAAAGCATAAACTACATTAAATGCTTTCTTTTAAGCTAAATATGGGATGTTCTATTGCTATGATAATAATAAAAACTACGGAATGATTGATTATGATCCTGAATTAATTTAGAGATGGGAAAAAACACCTAGATAACTCAAACGCACTTGGACCATGGCTGTAATGAGTGCTGTTAGTGATGGATCGATTTCATGGGAAGACATTAAATGCTATAGAGTTAGATTTGAAGATACAAAGAGATGGCGAAATTTTGAAGATAGATAATTTAACAGGAAGGTAACACACTAAAACAGGCATTCATCTGAATGACATAAAAACCTCTCGTCAGCTTTTGTTATAGAATTATATTAAGTTTAAAACATTTATTATATTATTTAATGAGGGAATGAGAAGTAAGATGAATCCAGCATTAAGGGGTTTTGGGGTTTTGGGGTTTTGGGG